GTTCCCAGAAGAGGCGAATGAGCTGTACAATTGGTCACCGGCTCATCGGGACGAACATTGCTACCTTGCGGGACGCGCTTGATTACGCAAAAGCCTGGAGTGCATCCTGTAACTAAAATGCTTACTCTGGATCGGGCGACCGAGTAGTACAATAGCCCACAACGTCAACAAAAATGAAACGCTCGTTACTGTCGACAAATGCATGCTCACACAGATGCTCCCGCACCGTACACACGCATTGATCTGTTTAATTCCACACCTCATTACCGCATACTCACATTTTCATATTCTTCGGGAGCTGCAGTCGACCGTACTTGCGGCAGTATCTCTGAGGAAAGTCCTGTTCCTGTTCTCTTGCGTTCTCCATTGTCTAATATCCAAGTCTCACTGAATCCGCTTCCTCCGATTGATACTCTTCTCTCCCCCTGGCGTCCTTTTAAACTGGCCACGTTTAATGTGCGAACGCTGATGCGTATAGCACAACAGGCGTGTTTAGCTCGTACGCTGGAGACCCTTACTATCGACATGCTTTGTATGCAAGAGACTCGCATCCAGGACCCCAGCTTGGTCATTCGATTGATGCCCTCATCCGGTCCTGTAAAATTTTACTTGTGTTTGTCTGGGGACCGTGAGGCTGAGGCTGCTCTACTTGACTGGATCCCAGTTGACAGTCGGTCGTGCGCAGTGAGACTTAGAGGTTTGTGCGGAGTAAGCAAACGCCGTTCTGATAGACACAGTTTGTTTGTCGTCTCGGCTTATACCACTACAGATTGCAGCTCAGATGCAATCAAAGATGTCTTGTACCAAAAGTTACACGACCTCCTACATAAAGCAGAACGGGGTGATATCGTGATTTTGGCTGGAGAAATCCATGCTAGAGTCGGTCGGCTGTCTTCGAACGAGGCTCATTTGGGTGACTTTTTTGGCCTCGATTTCTGTCGTTCGGAAAACGAGGAACGGTTTTTGGCTCTGTGTTCAGATCACCGCCTGTTTGTCACCAGTACGAACTTCAGACATTCTAATCGCCGATATTCCCCGTGGCGTTCGCCCTCTTCGAGTTAGCAATGGACCCAGCTAGACCGCGTCGCGATTAGCTACAAATGGCGGGGTTGCATACAAGACTGCCGGTCGTACTGAAGCACTCCTTTTGACTCTGACCACGCGTTAGTCTGCGCTAAGCTGTCCATGTGGTTCGTTGGGCGTACCAACAGTACCCCGCAGCAGGGGTTAGACCGCAATATCCTGTCTTATCCGTCTTGTCTCCCAACTTCCCGAAACGTTCTAGCTGAAAAGCTAGGATTAACGCCATCAGATAACGTCAGCCAGCACTGGTAGCTTACTAATAATGCTTTGTTGATTGTTGTCCCCATCTTCAAGAAGGGCTCGCGCAGTGAATGTGCCAATCATAGGGGTATAAGCCTAATCCCGATAGTGTCTTAGCCGTTAACGTCCGTCATTCTCCGCAGGACACAACACGCGTGATGAGCAAACTCGTGAGGAATAGACTGGGTTTTGTATCGGTCGTGGATGCATCGATCAAATCTTCACCCTCCGACAGCTGCTACAGCACCAATACGCCTTCCAAAGACCATCGATCTTTGTGTTTCTAGACGTTCGCGCGGCCTTTGACTCCGTCGATAGATCTGCATTGTGGCACTGTTTGTTAAGGAACGGTGTACCTGGAAAGTATGTATCGCTCCTCAAAGAGTTGTACCGTCATACCTCAGGTCGGGTTAGGGCTTGTGGCCCGCTTTCCTCACCCTTTGCCGTCTCCAGTGGAGAACGACAAAGCTGCTTAATATCCCCGCCAATGATATCGCCTTTCTGAGCGACAGTGCACAGGCAATTCAACACGTATTGAACCGCTTGACGATTGACGTGTTCTGGTATGGTATCACGACGAGACTACACCTTGGTGTGGTGTGATGGCTTGCGTGCCTATATGACCCAAAGAGCTATGCAAGATGGCTTCCTTAAGCCAGAAATACAATCATGCCTGACAGATCGATGTGTAGAGGTCAGACGAAGTCCAGTCTCTGAACCAGTTGATGGGCAACATATGGCTCTAACCACTATTTCTGGAAAGAATACTCCAGCAAATAAACACGGAGAGAAGCTGTTTACCGGTCTAAAAATCTCCACTAGATGGACATGGGGTTTCTATCGACGGTGGGAGAAGTCATCGCACTTCATTGGGCAGCTATCGCCCACCTAAGCTGGGCAGCCCCCAGCCCACAGGATGCTGCCCCGTCCACGTTCCGCTTGCTCCATTGGGTGCATGGGGCTAAGGACTGAATCCGAAAGGCGGATCGATAACGAAGCACCAGAGAAGACAAGACAACACGCATGCACTAATCAGGTCTCACGTGACAGACCAAAAGAAGTTCCTTTACGGGTTCTTCGGTCACGTTCCCGTGCTGGGTTAACGCCCCAGTGCCTTGTGGGTCAGACTTTTGAGTCAAAGGCTCCGGTTAGAGTTCCCAAAGAAAAACCTCATCCGCGGTCGCACCAAAGTGAATGCCACGCGTCTTGCGCACTGCTTTTAGAAGATAACCAGCGACGCAGTTCCCAGATGGAGCTGGCTACGCAGTTATCGATGCAGCCAGATGTTCAGGACCCAAATTACCGCTGGCAACAGATCAAGGAAACTTTGTATGCCGCTTCGAACGAGACAGACGGCTCTGGTTCAAGTCGGTCTCACAAACGATGGGTATCTTCGACATCAATTGTTCTGTTGGATGCTCGCAGACCCGTCCCTCTGAATGCCACATTCAATGAAGTGCGTAAATCCTTGAGACGCCAACTGACTAGGAGCCTGGGGAATGACCGTGAGCAGTGGGGGATTGCAAAATGTAGAGAAATGGAAAAGGCTGCGTCCATTGGCAATGGTCGCAGTCTTTTCCGTTTGGTTAGAAGTACCAGCCCACAGAAGCCCGGGGTGAGTTAATGAAAAAATCCGACGGCTCACTGATTCATTCCTACGGACATCGTCTGGACCGTTGGGTGGAGCATTTCAATGAATAGTTCAGTTGGTCCACTTTCACAGTGGACTTTCCAAATATATTTACCAGCGAAATAATGCAGTTTGATATCGGTGCTCCATCAGAGATGTAGATTATGCGGGAGATAGATTACTTGAAAAGATAAAAAGCCGCTAGACCAGATGGGTTTTCTCCATCTTTTTCAGGGATGGAGGCGAAGTTTGGTTTCGGAGTTAACAAAACTCCTCCGTACTATTTGGGATAGCGCTCAGATTCCCAGAGAAGAGTGTGAATCGGTGATTGTGCTCATTTACAAGCAAGGTAGCGGATCCTCTTTTGAAAACCACAGAGGTGTAAGCTTGATAAGTATCTCGCCCAAACTGCTCACCGAGCTCATTCTTCACCTATCATCCAGCGCCCGCGAAATGTGTACGCGTGCGAATTAAGCCGGTTTCAGACCCGGTCATGGTTGTATCGACTAAATCATCACTCTCTGACAAACCTTAGAGCATGGACACATCTTTCGTAGTCCCAAAATCGGTGTTTTTCTTTATCTGAAAGCAGTGTTCGACTCAGTCGACCGCACAGTTCTCTGGCGCTGCCTCTTGCTGAAGGGTATGCCAGATAAGTTTATTTCTCTTTTCCAATGCTTGTATGCGAACAACCGAAGCCGAGTTCGTGCTTACGGCGATCTTTCCCCCGAGTTCATCACGAAAAGTGGTGTTCGTCAGGGTTGCCCTCTTTCACCCTTCCTCTTCAATTTTGTAGTTTAATGGATTCTTGAGATTGCCCTGTCTTCATGTGAGAATAGCGGCATCGATTTTTGCTCAGGCAGTAAACTGTCTGACTTGGAATATGCGGACGATATTGTTCTTCTGAGTGAAGATCCAGGTAAGTTGCAAGCTCTTTTAGATAGCCTTAAGAACAGTCTAGCAATGTCTGGGATCCGTTTTGCACCTCCAAGGTGTAAAATGCTGTTGCAGGATTGGGTTGACTCAATACCAAACCTTAAGTTGGCCGGGGAAGCTCCAGCTGAAGTGGATAACTTTTGTTACCTGGGCAGTTACATCTCACCAGGTGGACAAATATCGGATGAAGTGTCATCGCGTATACAGAGGGCGCGTTTGGCTTTTGCCAACCTCCGTCATCTGTGGAGTGGGCGTGACATCTGGTTGTCTGCTTAGGATAGGGCGTACAATGAGGCGGTTAAGTCTGTTCTTTTATACGGTTCCGAAACATGGCCGTTGGGGGTAGAAGACAGACGAAGACCGTCTGTGTTCGAGCATGAATGTGTCCGGAGCATTGCCCGAGTATGGTGCGAACACCTTATCAGCAGTGATGGGGTTAGACGTAAGATGTTGGGAACCAGAGGTCAATCTCTAGATCAAGTACTGAATCTAAACAGGTTGAGGTGGTTGGGACATGTGTTACATATGCCAACCAATAGACTTCCTCGGCGTGCGCTGTTCTCTGAGGCAGGTGGTGATTAGAAGGTAAGTCGAGATGGTCAGTCCATGACATGGCAAAAAGGTGTGAAAGCCCCGACCAGTGGACTTGGCCACGTACGATGTGTAAAACTTCCAGGTTGGGGTCCACGTGATCCGCCTACTGAATGTTTAGAGACATTAGGCGATATGGCCAGGTGTCGCGATCATTGTCGTAATTGCATTCAGACTCTTTCCTTGTCATCTTGATTCCCGCTTGATACTTTGACTCTTTTGAATCTTTATCACTGTGCTTCTATTCTTTTCCTCTTTACCAGAGCGCAGGAGTGTGTTCGTAAATCCTAACTTGTCCCGTCAGTATTATACATACAAAGTCATATGGAAACCCGTACTATGGTTTTCAATTCAGTTGTAATGTCTTACAATCCATCTTATAACCTCGTAATTCTTCACGTCCCAGCATAATCTGGTAACGTCTTATTCAACTTTCCAACGCAACACCGTTAGATATTTCTGTATTCTTCTAGATCGTCATAATTAGATTCGCTTTATTTTTCGTTTCATTCGTATTCAGCGAAAACAAGTTTTGCGAACGGGAGCAATGCGGGCATCCGAAGAAGAGGAACTCATGCGCCGAGCTCGTGAAGGTATGGAAGACGGCGAGGATGCACAGTTCTCCGTCATGGTACGTTTTAATTTTCTTCCAAGCTTGTCGCATGATTTCATGGCCGTTCTGGTTGAATACAGAATTGTACGCTTTGGACGCAGAATTTTTTCTTGAATGTTACCACGATCATCTGGGCGTTGTCTCAACTCATAAATTCCCATCCTTTCTAGATTCCTGAATCACAAACCAAAGTGCTCTTGTTCAGAACTCTCCTCCTTGGACTGTGCTGAATTCATACAATCTCTCACCGAAACTATCCTTCGATTCAGTCGAAAAGTCGTTCACAAAAAAAAACGCAACGTCGTCATTTGTGTCTTCTTAGATAGAACAAAACGAATGATTAGTGTCAGTTTAGGAAACGATTGACAGTATGGTAAAGCCTTGGTCGTTCTACGTGATTATTCGGGATAAGCCTATGTTTGAATACTAACAAATCTGTAAGGCTGGTTCTCTCGAATGTACTATATCAGTCTTTCAACACTAGGAATTATGAACACATAACAACAAATCTCAAGTAGTAGGATTCTTCGGTAAGTCGGTCTCAGGTTTGAATCCCGCCATCACTAGTCCTTTTTCCATTCAGCAGTTTTTAACTGGCATCATCTCCCTCCCCTAAATATCGCACATTGATTGTATGATAAACGAAGGGGATAAAAGCCTGCTTATTTTGTTGTTACTGAAATATATAGCAACCTGTCATGTGGCAATAGCATTAGCCTGTGACCACAACCAACGATACATGATAACTAACCAGAAGTGCCCAACCACATCTCAAAAAGGACCAGTGTTACCCCATAAAAGTGGAGCGTGAGTGAAAGTCGTGTAAGAGAGTTGACCAAGATGACACGAGAACGGCCAGTTATTTGCTAGCGGGTAAGAATAGTGCATTATTCAGGACGTCTCGCATTCAGGAGTTAGGAGCACCACAAACTGAATTCAGAACAGATTCAGGAGACGTGTATTTGAATCAATGAACTAGACTGAACGACATGCCTTGCGTCGTGATTTGTCTATCCGGGCTACTGCACTGCGACGAATCCTTCGGTTACTCGTCGCGCTTCCATAACATGGTGAGAAAAGGCATTGGTCAGTGGGGCTTGCCTTGCTGTACGATGATGATGATGCGCTTCCGCACAGAAAGAACACCGTTCTGAACCTTTGTAAAGCATCACAAGTCATCCTGTAAAGCCCTGATAAACGAAAAGAGCACAAAGGATTTTTCCTTCATTCGGAAACCCCTGAAACTGTAAGATCAACTAATCTGTTTATTTCCTTCTCATCCATCCCTGTCAACAGATTCCAGTGGAAGATCAGTCGTTTCTGTGGTCGGATAAATACCGCCCACGAAAACCGCGTTTCTTCAATCGAGTGCACACCGGATTCGTGTGGAACAAATACAATCAGACTCATTATGATTTGGACAATCCACCGCCTAAAATTGTCCAGGGTTACAAATTTAATGTGTTCTACCCGGATCTGATTGATAAGACGACACCCCCCACATATAAGTTGACTCCATGTGAAGAACCGGGCCAGCGGGATTTTGCCATTTTGCGTTTCACTGCCGGACCACCGTATGAGGATATAGCGTTCAAAATTGTCAATCGCGAGTGGGAATATTCATACAAACACGGATTCCGATGCCAGTTCCAGAATAATATCTTTCAATTGTGGTTTCATTTTAAACGGTTCCGTTATCGTCGTTAGATCGCTTTGGCTACCACACAATACCAAACTTCCTGCTCCTCAAACTGACGGTCGGTCTTCTGTTGGGTAGCATGACAGTGATTTGCACGCGGTCGCTTTCGAATTTGGTAGGCGACTGTCACCACAGACTCTTGTAGCTCATCACCCGCCGTTTGCTCGTGTACAGTGTCAGTGATTTTTTGATTATTTTGCACAGTATGAACTAGTTTGTCTTTTGTTCTCAAGACGTTCATTGTTTGGAAAACCAGAAAAGATAAATAAAGTTAAAGAAATACCACGTCGTTTGTTGCCTCTGTGGCGATGAGATTCTGAGTAGCCACGATTCCGTGAGTATCACAAATGCGAATTTCGCGATGGACGGAAATGATCTCAATATTCCCTCTGAAGTCTCGGTTGATATCACAAAAAGGTGAATTGGTATCAGCTACTAGCCCTAAGTGCCATGTCAATGAAGCTTTATCCTCAACCGAAATAAATGCCTAACCGTCCACCGAGGATAACGAAAACGGTGCTCACCTTCCAGTACCTTTAGGCTGATATCTCCATCTTACTGTCGCTAAATTCTGTAAACTTCTGCCGTGTGTCCTGTCACAGAGCCGCAAGCTGGTATACTTAGAACCAAGATGCGCGAACACAGTAACGCGGAGGATGTTTTAGTCCGTTATGTGCCTCGTAAACATTATACATGGAAGCCGTCGGTTTTCGGGTTTTTCACACATCAGCCCGAGTGTCTGGGATAAACCCTCAGCACTGTTTATCAAACACCGCGCACCATACCGAGTGCTGCACCCCATACTCCCAAAATCGACAGCCGATGAAGCCAGTGTTTGGAATGCGTTTTGCACCTTCAAAGTGTAAAGTGCTGCCGCAAGGTTGGGACTAAACCAAACCCTGTTCTGGTTAGGTGTGTGGATGTCAGATGAGATTTAGTCGTGGGTTTTCTTTTGCCAATCTAAATCAGCTGTTTGCCCACTAAGAGTTGAGTGTACATTGCGACAGCTAGGTCCGTCTGTTAAGAGTAGAAGATAAGTGAAGACTTTTGTAATTCGGGTGTCGGTGTCTTCGGAATATTGCTCGGATAAAGTTCAGACACTGCATCAACAGTGAAACCTTGGGTGCTAGAAACCAGAGGTCAATCACTCAAACGAGCACTGAATGTAAACAGAGGCGCGTTACACATGCGCATTAGTGGATCTCTTTGTACGTTTTTGTCCGAGGTCGAGTATTTCCAGTCCACGACGTGGCTGAAGGTATAAGAACCTTGGCCGTGAAAGACATTAGGCTTCCGGGTTACAGCCCGAGAGATCCGTCCACTGGATGGTTGGATCCGTTTGGTGATATGGCTAGCTACCGCAGTCAGTGGCATAGTTATGTACGAGCCCTTTCACCTTCGTGATTATACCTTTCTTTTCCACTCTACCCCCTGTATTTCTTTCAAATATCCCTTTAACAGGACGGTGATGTGAGGCGGCAACAGAAGTGTTAAACGAACTGAACTGATTCAGCTACACTGTCCGAACATATTTCAACGTAACACTGTCACATCAGTGTGGTTTTAGCGGAATGATTTACCGGCCGATCAACCTGAGATCTGTGTTGGACAGCACCCTGATAACTTGTTTGTTGGTATCTTCTGTGATCCGTGATTGCGGGTCCCCACAGTCCTCGTACGTGCTCTGCTTTTACAGCGCAACAGATTTTGTATCTATGATGTATTCTGCTTTCACTGAACCGAGAGGTAGAGTGGTTTAGGGCATCTCCTTATCACCTCGGAGGTCAGAGGTTCGAATCCCGCCACCGCCGGCCCCTTTGGTGATAGGAAGAAATCTGCTGTCGTCCATTTGTTGCCGTATCTGATCTACTAGGACGGTATGTCGTTCTCTATCGCTCCAAGTCTCGGGTTTTGGTTGTCGGCTAACCGTAATAGTACGGTGGTCTTCGAGGATATGGATACACCCCTTCCATTGCAATCGTGCAAAAGTACGTAGTAAAAGGCTTTATTGATGAATAAGAAGAGGGAGTTGTACTACGCTCGACAAACACCATTACGGGGATCGCCCGCTTACGTGAAACTTGGTCATCTTACGTTATTCGGGAAGTTGAATAAGAATGAAAAACCTAATCGCGTCGGAGACTACTTCACGATGAGCAAGAACCGGTTTAGATGATGCAAACTGAGAAGATTATCGACACAACAACAGGTTTTGTCGATTTTATCAATCAGTTTAATAACTGCAGATATGTGCAGATTGGAGCTTCGTTGTCTATATTTATTCTCGACCGGATTCGACGCAAGACAATTCGCCCATGACCTATATTCAATCTCCAGTCTGATGTTGCTTCTCCAAGCTTGCCTCAGCTGTTCTGTAATATTTTAACGCTGGTCCTGGACACAGACAACCAATAACTTGTAACAGGTTTTTGTCCCCAGGTGTCGGACCTCAACCCGTTGTTCATCGGAACACTTTATCTTACCACCATTCTTTGTTCAAAAGCAGGATTAGTGAGCTGCATCTGCTGATCATACAGTATGCTTGCGAACTATGGATTCAACCACTGTTATCGTACTTTCCTTCATGTGCAACCAAAAGTTGAATAGCGTTTTCTAATGAGTTCTCGCAGAGAAAATGGACAAAAATGTTTCCCACTGTAATCTTTTATTCTGACAAACATCAAGGAACATCTTTAGCAGAAAAACTTCAGCAATGCATAAACCTGAAAGACAATTTCCCAAAGATATAATCCTAGCTCACATCGCGTTCAGTGTTTTGCAAAAAAACTAGTACAAAAATACAGCAAATCAAGAAAAGAATACAACTGAGAACAAGATAACCCAACAAACACAGACTCTGATTGGACAATCGCCCGAGGATGGAAGACTAAGCCCATTAATACTCTAATTCTCAGTTATCACCATTTGTCCGGAATAAGTGTATCGTTGATGGAATGGCGGATAGGGGCAAGTTAACAGGGGTGGTTCGAACGCATTGAAATCGGTGATCACAGAATCTTCGTCCAGACTGCCCACAGTACCGCTACTGTGATTTTTCATCAAGGTATCATTGGTTAGTTGTAGGACGAACTGTCGCAAATCTAACCACGGTTCAACCAAGGCTTGGTTAATGGAACTCAAATTCGCACACGGTTTTCGCGTTGGGGTGGGTTCGAAACTGATACATGAAGTCGGATCAGTCATATCGGGATCGATATTCAGGTGTTCCGCAAACACACTGTCCACCAGGTTAAGGAGTTCCTCAGTCGGTTGGTACTGCGCCTCCTCTCGACTAAGTCGTTCCAAGTCTTCGGCACTCACTGTGTTTTGTTTTGGATGATGCTGTGCAGTCAGTATTGCCTCAGTGGCGGTTGCGGACGAACTGCTTGGGGACATTAATTTCGGCGAGCAACAATGAAGTGCACCCGGGTCAATCGGATGTGCCTCAGTGTTGAACACATAACCACCATTCTCCAGAGTGCATTCAACCCCAGCTGAAGAGAGGTGTGACACCGGTGCTGGATGGTCACCAGGAATGTGGTTTACAAAGTTATCTTCATCAAATATCAGATAGAGGTATTTGATTGTCTCGGCCAAGAAAAAAGACTCCATTCGATTTTCCAATTGATGTGTTACCACGTTTGCCACCTGAGTAAATCATAGAAAAAACAGCCAGGAGAGGAGTTAAGACATGCTTAACGTAAGCAAAATGACAATGAGGTCTAGTTGGGATCGAAACGTTATACAACTCAATGTACGCCTTAGTACCTAAGCAATGACGAAAGATCGGATTTGGAGTGTTCCTGGTTCAGGGTTAGGTGCGACTGTAGGACGACGGCTCATTTCTCAGCTCAAGCGATTAACCGACTTTCCAAGTATCGGAGCTGAGTGAAGTAGGAAGATCACATTTGGTTGAGATGGAGTTCAGTTCATCAGATCACACTCCTTAGAAGAAGACCACACAACCGGGGTCTCTGATGCGCCCACTAAAGCGGATGAATGTTTAGGCACGGCGTGTATTGTTTTGGGTGGTCTATAACTAGGGCTTAATCAACTGAATTTTAATTGCTTAAAACCCGCTAGCCTGGTTGCGAAACAAAACAAAGGGGCTTTTCCTTCATGTATCTGTGGATGATTGGGCGGAAGAGTACCGGGTACGCATACCTGATGAGCTGCAATAACCGCGAAACCGGTCGTGTGCTTCCGGGGAAATTTTGTCCTATCATCCAGATACAATGTCATACTACTCATATTGAAATTCTTACTGTTATATTGTCAGTTCGCACTGACGATGTCAACTCGACTGGTGATGAAGCATCTGTGACCCGAATGCCAAGTTCAGCTACCAGAAGTTATTGAATACACATAAACTTGTTTAATAGAGAAGTTCGAACACCTGTATTTCAAACAATAACGAGATAAATTGCTTACTAGTGGCTTGAGAGTGAATTAGAAGAGTCGACTATGGATGAAAAACCGTATGCTAGTGTTAGAGAAAAACTTGAAATTGCATGGTCAAGAGCGGAGTGACTTGATTAGCCAATGATTAGTGGAGCAACTGGAAAGCAAGAGCAGTGTAGGTATTCGCAAACATTTCTCGATGAAATGACTGATTCATTAAACGGATAAGCTTCTTAGAAGTACGGGGCCAACGTAATGAATTTCCGGTCCATTGGAGATGTTGGCTTTTTCAATAGAATTGAGTGTGAACAATTCCTGCGAATATAATTTCACCTCCAGAATTTGCTAGTGTAATCATTCAGGAGTGGATGGATTGATGCTAGTATCCGTGTTTATGTCAGTCCTATTAGATCGGTTATGTTTCTCCCATTACTTTACCTGCATTTCAGATATACCTAAAATTTACACTGCGCAAAAGTTGACGAGAACAAGAAAATACCCAAAGTTCTAGCTTATGTCTGACACAAATAAAGCATTCGTTCAGGAGTCCTATTAGGTGTAATTATAATCGCCTGAAAATAGTTCACGGAATGGAGGTAGATTTTATAATAATAAAATCACGTTTTCGAAGTCAGGTTTTTTCAAATCGAAAATTTTCTGGCATCTACGTTAGGAATGGCTTGCTTATCAAACCAGTGTTTGCTCAATTGAGAAGAGGGTAGGATAGATGATTAATACCACAGTCATCATTTGTGAACGACAAATGTCGGAGTGATTGTGTTCTATTCTTTTGGAATAAGGTATGTGCTCTTACTAGGGACAGTGAGATTGTTCTGTTTATTTTACCGTACGGAGTGCGGTGGATGTCATCACAATAGATCTGTATTCAAACTACAATTTTTGGGAATATCGAAAGGAAATTCGTTTCCAAATGAGAGACTCAGTGTTTGGAAATACAATGCCACATGAATCTACTCAGCATTTTCACCATAAATTACTTTCAAATTATGTTGCTGAATCCTAAGCTCGATGAATCAGTTTGTGAGGACTACTTAGCTGATAGGAATACCGAGATCAGCTAAGCGAGGAAAAATTCCAGTAAGATTTGCACGTAAGTAGACACGTAGAATACCATCAACCTTTTCGCGTACTAGGCCCGAACGCCTTCGATACTCTCACCTATTTTAATCGTACGTGCAGTCCCTCGGAATGAATAATGACGAAAAAAAAAAAACAATAGAAATGGGACCCATTTCAGCTGCGCTTATCTGACCGATATTTACCAATAAAAATGACAAATTCAGACACTTTGTGGCAAGATACCTACCTGATTTAAAGTGGGTTGACCCAATTCAAGGTGGTCTGATTGTCTGCAAATAGACGAGCAGTATCCTGCACATCCGAGAGAAATAGGGTTGCTTGTGGAAACACCAATCTACAAAACAACCTACAAGGACGCAGGCAACCTGGTCGTTATAACAATGGCTTTGTTTGTGCAAGGCGATTCCAAGTACCTATTGGTTTACCCCAAAATTTGCAGTCCTATGTAGGCTCAGCTGCTTGTTTGCTTAGGAACGAAATTTACTGTTCCTTTAAGGGGAAAACTAACTGAAATGCCCTCCACTTAGTGTTCCAATAGATCATTTCTACTTGTTCACTGTTTTTCTAGTTTACTACAACACTATTTTGTGCATTTTACTGATTTTTTCCGTCTTTGAATCGAAGGGGTCTTGAGGTGATGATTTGCACAGTAAGTCCATTGTCACTTACTGGGTCCCTAAATGAGTTTGGTTTGCAATATGGAGCACACGTTAAACAGGATGGAGGAAGTGAGTGCCAGAGACATTTGTCATCACGAACTAACGAACCCAGGAATAGGTCTGTTTGAACCGCGAATGTATGTGGCGGCTCAAGAATGTAGCGCACTATATGAGGGTAGACCGTCGGGAGTTCGAATCTCCGGCGAACGGTTTTTATGCTTGGTGAAAAGTTCAGCAAATTATCGTACAATAGAAAAGTACAGAGAGGATGCCAAAGTTAGGAATATAAACGTAGAACGTTCATGCAGTATACGTCAAAAGACGCAAATATGAATGAAGTCAGTGCATTAGGAACGGAGAAGATCATGAATGCTAGAAATCCATGGTACATGTATACACTACTTATGAGTAGGCCAGGTGAGAATGTTGCCCGAAAATAAAACCTAGTCAAAGATGCACCCATGGAATGTTCTCAAGGATGAAACCTTATTTTCCAATGTGAACCATTTCCCCGGACTTAGTAGTATTGAGAACTCAATTTGCCGCAATTACGGAATCAGAAAACATACATCTTCATTTGCATCGAATGGACGGAGAGTCTATTTTTAGAATCACACGGTGATTCTTTCAAAGTTAATTCGTCGGTTAACACGGTTAACCTTCAGAACGAGGACACATGGTCCGAAGTACGGATATGCGATGAGTAGTATAGGATTGTATCTGGATGAAAGGACACAATTCCTCCGGAAGCATATGAGCGATTTCGTGGTTATTGCAGCTCACCAGGTATGCGTACCCGGTACTCTTCCGCCCAATCATCCTTATACTTGAACACTCCACAGTTAGTTTACAGCTGTAATCTCATTTTGATCGAATGGAGCGTGCATGGAAGGGTAGTCCATTTTTAGAATCACACGGTGATTCTTCCAAGGTAGATTCATCGGTTAACAAGGCTAATCCTCAGAACGAGGACATATAGTTCCAAGATTGGATTTTCGAATGAGATTACAGTTGTAAACCAACTGTGGAGTGCTTAATTATAAGGATGATTGGGCGGAAGAGTACCGGATACGCATACCTGGTGAGCAGCAATAACCACGAAACCGGTCGTGTGTTCCCGGGAACATTTTATCCTATCATCCACGCACAATGCCATACTACTCATATCGAAAACGACCAGAGCGTAATGCAAATTTCTGGCCTACTGATGTTTCCTTTAAACCAAATGAAATGGATGTTACACAGCGAAGTTACCGAAGCGGAATAATGTTACCTTTCTTCAAAACTACCCACTCCGGAATAGTTTGACAGTTAACTATTGCGACTTGTGTGGCATATACAGTATTACCCATGAAACAGTAAGCCTACTTCACACTGTCCGTTGTCGAGTCAATATTCGAATTCCTCACGATTCGGCCCTGAAGGACGTCCCAACATTTCATTGGTTTGCTTTGTTGTACTAAGGTGATAATTACCATTTAAAAACCTGTGCTACATAATACTCCGGTTCGTGATTAGTACTTGCACAAAAAATAGTGTGAAATTCGAAAAGGTGGTGAGTTCTATTCCATATTCTCAACACCGTTTTTTATTTGGATTGAGTTTACAATACCACTCATACAGACTTATTGGTCCCAATGTTTCACATGTTGTCTATCAGGTCCTTTGCACTTGCGGTGACCCTTAATGTCGGCAGAACCGATCACTGCTTGGTTCAGCGAGTGTCGGAGCACGTACCCAAGTGGTCGCCAGAACCAGTGACGAGATCCGCTGTGCCCGCGCAGAATGACGTGTGGTCTCCAGCTTATTTAGTTGCGAAAGACCGAATTGTATCAAGTCAGACTGTACATGATCCGATCTTTCCGATTCACATTGCGCAACCCAATACTAAAGCTACTGGCGTTCAGCGAAGAGATGCCTAACGGAATGCATCAGATAGTGCTGTGAGCACAAGAGCATTTTACAGGAAAGGTTCGTTTTTTCCACTTTGGCACTAACCTGATAGACCTCCTTCTCCCCACCAAACGCGATGTAAGAGCATAAAATATAGTTCATTCTTAGTGGACCACGTATAAACTGACCCGCTTTACGTTCGCGATCGATAAGCATAAAGGAAATGCTTGCATTCGCATATCTTTTTTGTTCAGACGAATTGCGGAAAGAGAACACAGTGCTACTAATTTTCCACATGAAACTTTACTGCGGTGCCATTTTCGCGACTGTTACGACAAGCACCCAAACACTGCGTTTCAGAATATCACATGCACTGGCGTTTGATTTTTCCAGTATGTAAGTGAGTATGCAAAATCAAAACGGAAAGCTTCGGACTGAGATCAGAATTGTTGAACAAAGTGAGCCACTCCATTACATTCTAACTGGAGAATATCAACAGGGCATGTTTGAAAAGTTGCTCATCCGAAGAGACTAGCTGGCAGGCTAGACAGATTGCACTTGCGGATAAATTAAATGCGCACGCCTGAAAATCTGACTTTCGTGTACATTCCACTTGGCTATTATTGGTACGAATTAGTTTCGCGGCGATCGCATTCTGTTCTACAATGATTCGACTGTTACCCATCAAATCCAATAGTTCACTGATATGAAGACAAAACTTTCGAGCTTACCGTGGCATGGCCGCATGAGGTCTTAGTCGTCTGCTCAATTGAGGTCAGCACATCGATTGCCATACTAATATAGACCGGATCTTTCGTGGCTCGGTATAGGTAGTAAACGGACTCAATAAATTCTGTCGACAGAAAGGCGAGGGGGAAAAGTAATTGTTGAGTGGAACTAGAGGAAAACATACGAACAAAGAATCACGCTTGAATGGTTTCCTGATCGCTGAAATAAGCGTCTAGGTCGCAAATGTTGTACTAACAGTCAAGGGGACATCTTCAGTGAGCGGGTCGCGGTACATGCATTCATCAGGATTTAATCTTGCCCTTAGATTTCCCTTCAGGATGTCCAGGGTCATCGAAGAGGCCATGGTCAAATTAAGGGGAAAACATCCTGCAAACAGCAAGGAGTGCAAGAACCGCCACCTGCACGCTGATGATGTCACCTCGACTGGCGATAAAAAAAATGGAGACTCAAGAATTACAGATACTTTACACCGACTAGAAATCAAGCATAGCGCCAACTACAAGCACAAAACAAGGAGAGAAGTGTAACAGAGTATACCAGCAAGTCGTTCCTATAAACCTCTCTCTCACGGTTGTATGCGTTGTGGACTTTCGTATTACTCCGCCGCCCAGTCCTTAGTGCGCGTTTTTGTTCAAGGATGCACCTATAGTTTTTGGGCAGCCCAACGCGTCCTGCAAGGCAGCAACGTTAATCCAAATGAGTTAATTGTGGCCAATTGTATGATCAATTTGCCTTTTCTCGAAAGCTCGTCGGGTAAGTAGAACACGACAAAGAACCATGGTCTCATTAAGTGGTGGGCCACATTTGCCACGTCAGTGCTGTCAGCAGACTTGTGACGTTTTACGGTGGAGAAAGCTAGCCAAGCAAAAATCTCACCACATCCTCGAGCACTGCCACAACCCCATATTTGGTGAACCCACCTTATTCACGGTTAATCGCGGGAGCGGACATTCACTTATCCGTGATCCGGCGACGCGCCTGTCAGATGATATAAGACAACAATAAGCCGAACAACCCCTGCTTTAGAATCATCGAATCGTCAGTAGACCAAGCTATTTAAAATGTGAAAAGTACGCTCACAACTGCCAGTTTATCACCAAAAGACCATCATATACGTCCACAGGCCAAAATATAAAAACAAAGACTCAACATCAGAGAAGCGAACGAGAAATACGATCGATTGACAAGGTATAACATCACAGGCCTACAGTTTCCAAATCACCGTCATCTAATGTATTTGTGAACCCCAGTTTATCGGTACCTGATCAGACTTATAGCTACGCCCAAGCAGCCATCACAAATTTAAGTTATATATTTGTTACCATCATTTGGATAACCCCAGTGATAACAGAGAAAGGCCGAAGACAATTAACCAGGTTGTGGTGACTTCAAAGAGAACTAGATTCTCGTTTTCTGGGTTCCGCCGTCCCATTCACTTAGATGTTCGAAGACACCTCCATCCTATATGGGATACAGTAAGATCATACAACCAGAGTAAATGAGACCTTTCGTCTCGTCTGCACTGTCCCTAGTGCAAACTTACTGGTTGTTGAACCCGAGCTGAACATTCATTAGCTAGCGAAATTCTTTCGCTGCTGAGATTAATAAATTGTTGAAGCTCAGGTAAAGACTAGAAGAAGCTAAATTCCTAAGACTCGTCTTCACTCCGGAAGACAGGTAAAACAAGATACTGTTTAGTTCGGTAGCAGTAATACTTACAGTTAAATAAGGTGCCTAGGCACTAAGTTCGAAATGGGCAAGATGAACAAGCAGAGGACAGACGCTGGCATCAGAGAATTTCATCCGTTATACTTCTTCTCGTGTGTTTCCGCCAGAATATCGTCTCCAGAGATGTAGAGCTCATAGCGTAAAACCTATTGCTTCATAAAGCTTAAAATCGTCTAGTCTTTCACCTATTGAGCACTCAAACATGATTACATAGGTTCTAAGAAATTATCCGGTACGACTCTTTGTGATCGTGATGACACCGGAGACGGATAACTCGTCCCGGTGAACATCCAGTCTGTATTTGTGACAAAGCAACACCCAAAAGAACGCGAGACGCCGGAAATTCAACCTATTAACTGGCTTCAGTGAGAATGAAATAAAACAAGATCAAGCAAATGTGGGCATATAAAGACAAGGAGACGTGCCAAAATAAGCGACCTATAGCATCATTTAGAAAGAATCTCCATTGACCTAGTCGCATTAAAACCGTGTAGGACCTCTATAAACGGCCGAAAAAATTGCCGATAAGATGGTTTTCAAAGGGCTTGAAAAATCAAACCTGAAAATTCCTCATGAATGTCACCCAGAACAGTATCGAATATTACATTGTTCTATAACACTGACGTTGGAATGTGTCATTCGTGCACAAAATTATGTTCACTAAACCTAAGAAATCTGTCACATTCGCGGTGGAACTCAGGTCAATTCCAGGTTGTCCAAATCATCAGACATGGGACGATAGAATTCGGTGTTTAATTCTTTTCAAGAACGATAAAACTGCATGAATGTACGAAATGGCGGAAAACTGATTTGTTTTATGATCCCTAATGCCTTACGCTGATCAAGTAGCAAAACTTTGCGGATCTTTCCTAATGCAGTCGTTTCACACATAGACACCTACTGAGAAGACATTTATCATAAGAGCTGTACGCTGTGTGGTGACGAGTCGATAACGTGAATTTGTCCGATATTTGGCTTCGATTGTGTTATCAAAACAGCCTTTCAACACTCGGAAGTGAGATATGAACGAATAGGTACAATAATAACGCTCTGTCGCTTGGTCAGTACTGGATCCCTGTCCTCGAAACTTATTTACTCGTGAAACAGCAGGACTGAGCACTGAAGACGGACGGCTAACAGCATCAGCGAAGACCAAACAGGACACGAAAACTAGATTCAACATGACAGACCGGAAGCTACTTCCGGGTTCATCGGTCACTTTCCCGTGCTGAATTCAGACTCGTATTGCCTTGAAGGTCAGACCACGTAGTCAAAAATTTCGGTTACGGTTCCAAGAGAAATCCCTTCTTCTGCACTGTGCGCCACTGCGAGGTATTATTTTAAAAAAACCTCCTGGAAAAGTAAGCTCATCCAGAAACAGACTTCTTTGATGTGCACTATCCTGCGGAGCAGGTAGTGGTTGGCAAGTATAGCAACATTCACCAGCGAACTCAGCCAAGCAGGGCTCGTTAGGTTACCCAGTTGAGATCTACGAAATCCGTTTATCGAATGGATCAGACGTTAGCATAAGCGTACAGCGTTAAAAAGAATGACAAAACTCACTGATCACTGCCTTTCTCACCATCTTGCACGCTGAATTAGAAAGTATGAATATACAAGATGGACAGGGACTGGACCTACATGGGTGGGAAAAGAAAAGAATGCCCTAGTAGCCAACACACAGAATACACAGCCTAACTGTACAAACGCACACTGGTCAATCATTCTGATTCAATAGAAAGTGACGACACGATCGCCACAGCTCACGGTTCGCAGCCATATCCTTCAGTGTCTCCAGCCAACTGGTAGACGGATCTTTTGAACTCCAAACACGAAGAAGTTAGACACTTATTTTTCCTGAGCTCGCTGTACATTTTCTCATTTCTCGTTGCCAAGTCATCTGCTGACCTCCATGTGGTTTTTCCCACTCCCTAGGAGGAACGGAGAATAGGACACGGTATGGCAGACGTGTGTTTGATATACGTAACACGTGCACCAACAAACTAAGTCCTCCAAGCTGGATACGCTGCGATAGAGAACTCCCTGAAGTGGTACCCAATATTCAATTTCTGACCCCATTATTGCTCACTGGGTCATTTCATCCAACCTGTTCGAGGCTAATACCTTGGTGTCGTCACTTTCTATTGAATCAGAATGACTGATCGATGTGCGTTTGTACAGTTAGGCTGTGTATTCTGTGTGTTGGTTACTAGGGGATTCTTTCCCTTTTCCCACCTATGTAAGTCCAGTCCCTGTCCATCTTGTATATTCATACTTTCTAATTCAGCGTGCAAGATGGTGAGAAAGGCAGTGATCAGTGGGTCTAGTCATGCTGTTTAACGCTGTACGATGATGACGATGTTGGATTAAGCTAATCCCACAATGATTACTACAGTCATTGCGTATTACCTTCTTGAAGATGGGCATAATCGATGACTCACTCCATATTAACGGGATCTCAAGTGATACCATCCAAGAAGTCACAGTTGTTGACACGGGAGTAACTACACTAGCGTGCAGCCAGCTAAACTGTTCCATGAAGTATTCGGCCCAACGGTCAAGCCTTTGCTGTTTGCTGTGGATGGGTTCTCCATTCCTATCGCAAATCGTTTCACTGACCTGGATCCGCCGTCCACCGGTGTCACGAATAAGTCTGAACAGTCTCTGACTGTTACCTGAAGGAGCTGCCATTTCCACTTCTTCGGCTACCTTGACCCACCAATTTTCGCGATCCTTCTTAAGGCTTTTCGTAACTTGCCTTTGCAGCTTTCTCCGCATCTTATTCATCTCCTTACGGTTCGAGAGCTGACGCTTTTGCTCCATTATATTCAGCGACTCTTGCGAGATCCAGTGTCTTTGATGGACAACGGATCTAGGACCACAAGCAAAACATGCTGCAAAGTGCATCACCTGTTCGATATGGGCCCGTTGCTCATCTACAATACTGTTCATCGCAGATCCTAGCTCATGTGCTAACTTCTGTTCAAAACGGGTGCGTACTTCTGGATCACACATACGTTGCACGGCTAATCGGGTTTGCGGTTTGCGACGATGACCATGGAGCTGGAAAGATAATCGCATTAAAACTAATGCATGGTCAGACTGACTCTACGTACGTGGACCAGTAAGATCTACAGTTCTGAACAGAACTGCGCCACTGGTAGCTTGCAGCGATAAGATCAATCTGACTCAAAGTACCTTTACAGTTAGAGTGCTATGTCGCCGTTAGACGTGAGCTGCGTCCGAAATTCGTGCTAGACAAGAACAATCGATTGTCTGCACAAAACTGGAGAAGCCAATCCCCGTTTTCTGTACGCTCATCAGGTAAAGCACAGCGCCCACCTAAACAGGCTTCTGACACACTAAATTTGCCAACTTGTGCATTGAAGTCACCAGCTAGCACTACAATGTCGGAAACTTACTGCCGCGAACGAGAGTGGCGAGTGCATCATAGAACTCATCTTTCTGCAAGTCTGAGCTGCAGTCCGTTGGGGCGTACGCCGAGATCACAAACAAGTTGCGCTTAACACAACTATCCTTTCGAACGCCAACTGACCCTTGGAGTCTCACAGCACATAAACGACTGTTAACCGGAATCCAGTCCAAAAGGGCAGCCTCAGCCTTGTCAGTCAAGACAATTCCTACACCACGTTGACCCACAGCTCTAGCTGCTTCGTCTCCTGAGGTGCGCAAAAAATACCTCGATGAGATGCCAGGAGCAGTTAGTTGAATTACACTGCTCGAATCCTGGATATGCGTTTCGCTTAAGCAGCAGACATCAATCTTCAGAGAATTTATTGTGAGGGCTAGGCACGCCTGCTGACCGGCCTGCATGAGTGTACGCACGTTGAAGGAGCCGAGATTAGGAGGCTGACGGGGCTTGAGAAAATGTGAGTTACCAGACAGAGGATTATTCCCGATACTATTTGACATTGAACTGTTGCGAGTATTGACCGTGTTATCAGTAGGAGCATTATGGGTGGATAGATGGGGCAAAGAGGGATGGTTAGGGGCAGAAGACAAAGGTTGAATAAAAGAGAGGGAACTCTGAGCAGTAGCCCACTTATCACTACACACCCCGCTCGATGCAATGGGCAGTGCGGTCCTGATTAGCCTGCGCGACGACCGATGCAGTATGGAATTCTTTGTAGTCGTGCAGTTCATGGGAAATGTTGGACGAGTACTGCCAGGGTATACAGCCACAAAGCAGACGTTAGGTGATAGACCTTAGTGTCGCGGTCAGTGGTTTAGTTTTGATCAAGCTCTTTCCTCATCTTGATAACTTATTCCTCTTTCCTATTTGTTTACTCAATATTCTGTTCGTTTTTTTCTATCGGCTAGATGGTGTATGGAGGTAGAAACCAAAACAGAAGCGCGAAGAGAATGGTTGAAAGAACCGTACTGAACTGAGGGAACAGAGATCAACAGCATTGTGTTCACATGAATCCTGAAGCACGCAGGGCCACCGAGTCGCGTGCATGTTTGGTCTTGCGATGCAGTGCTGTGGTAGTCTGCTGAAAAAGAAAACAGACAGACAAATCGGTAGAAAAACTCACCAGGTCGAAGAAGATAACTGCTTTGTTTTGGCACAGAGCGTCGTTCAATCAGATTGTAAGCCTCTGGAATGAAACCGTACTGTTTCCAGATTTCATGGTAGGCAGACAGATGTTGTATGGCCTCGTCCAGATGTCCAAACAAAGACTGACAGTTAGAAAAATCGTTTGTAGATAGTGAAATGTGAGGAATCGGAGACAAGGAACCGAAAACCTTAAGAGATATCGGAGAGCGAACAATTGTTTTCAATGATGTGACCATGGGACTGTTTAAACACTTAAGAGATATGTCAGAAAAATCTCGCAGAACGTATCGAGAACAAAACAGCAGAGCTAACAAGCTTGTTTTCAGTTATTCGTGCTCATGACAATACACAACATCTAATACGATTTTAAAACACATTCTACATTGTGACCAACTTCACATAAACGCGCACAGACAGATCTGGATTGTCATTCCCCTGGTGTTTCATTCAAAAGAACATTTCGGAAGTACCCAAGCGACCATTGATAATCACCGCCAAGAAGAAAGAATTGCACATGCAACTTCCCTTCAAAGGAGATGTTAAATGCGAACTACTCGTTCGGCGCCTAAGGGATGCAATCGCCCGTACATTTCCCGCCGCTACTCTACGCGCCCACTTCACAAGCCGGTCAATGATTTCTATGAATCTCAAAGACAAAATGCCTGTCCTTTTCTCCTCCATGTTAACCTATTCATTTGTTTGTTCATGTTCGGCAAGCTATGTAGGCAAAACGATACGGCAACTGTCCCAAAGAATCAAGGAACACAAACCAGCTTGGCTGAGGACAGGAACTAGAAGAACCATAACTAGTGCAATCGTAGCGCACCTTGCCGAGACAGGGCACCAGGTAGACAACGAAGCCTTCAAGATAATTTACAAAGTGCCTGTGAATTCTTCGAAGATCGTTCGCCAAATCACTTTGGGAGCAGCGGAGGCAGTAACGATTAGGCTGTTAAATTCATCACTTTGTTCACACAAGCGATTTGTCAAATCACTGCAGCTACCCTGGCCGCGATCGGAAAATGGGGGACAAAATCATGGTGACCTCGACCGCGACCTTTCAGTCGTGACAGGAAGCAGCCAACCCACCCCAGATGTACTTTCTACACCGAGTTTTCCCAACCACGAACAACTAACTTCCCACCCCTTTTCCGAACCGCAAAACACCTACAATATTGATTAACCAATCTTAATTTGATGCTGTAAATACCCTCTATTTTGTTCCGAAAATATGCATTCCTATCGTATATATATGTAACTGTATTAGCCAGAGGATGAAGTTACCGAAAACGAGCTTGTTCGCTATCGTGCTTTTTTCTATAATGCAATGGGATTATTCAGTGAAATTCCTGAACTGTTGAACTTTGTTGTATAGTAAATAAAAAGGAATTTTTTATACACTCGTCCTAGTGGCATTCGCCAGTGCCATCTATGTTATCTTACAGCGGCACCCCAATAATTTCATCATGTTTACAGACCTATTTCAGGGTACCAGTAGTGCGTTAATGTTACACCATAAGAACATCCCATGGAAATTAAGGGGTTACTTGTCATTGAATATATATATATATATATATATATATATATATATATATATATATATATATATATATATATATATATATATATGAACTAGTACAGAGGCGTCGCATCAAGGAAGATATGAATCAGATTTTTTGCAGAAAAGAGAATAAGAGGTTCCCAAGTGGTTAGCAGACAAATTTCCGTCACTGACTCCACTCGGACTACGTCACGCTGATGATGCTTAATGGCCTTCTACATTTAGCAATCGATGTCTCCGAAATATTGCGCGCATTTGGTGGCAATACTGTGAGTAAGGAAGAGGATTATCACCATGTATCGGATGAGGGCAGTTGATATTTTAGAAGGTGTTCGTGCCGGTCGCGGTGACTCGAACGCATTTCATGTATGGCTGACGTATGTCAGTGGCGCGCTCCAAGTATGGAATTCTGGTGGCGCTACCAAATCCAACCGTATTGCTTATATCGTTTATGGAATAAGGTCACACAGTCACTTATGAGTCATTTTTGTATTTCACCGGTGTTTGGCCTTGGCGATCGTCAAAGTGATCACTGTACGAACAACGCTTTCACGCCAAATCCTAGAATATTATCAGCTGATATATTAATGCCTTTCAGGAGTCAAACAGAAAACCTGAAAAAAAATTCCACTGGGGATTATTATCCGACAAACCACAGAGGATCGACCGAAAACTTGAGAGCGTAAAATTCCGTACTGATAAGTTATGTTCACAACATCCTGAGAACTATACGGTACAAGAGGAAATATTATCGATGAACCGCCGATGGCATCAAATTATGTTCATTACTGGGTGGTGGTCGAACGGTTTAGGTTTGACTACCACATTGGATGTCCGGAGTTTGAATCGCACCAACGACGGTCACTATGGTGGTCGACAGTAATTGACTGTCATCCGGCTCGATACCAAACCTGACTTACTCAGGCCTTAGGTGGTTCCCCACTCCAAGTCTTAGAGTACGGTTGCCAGTTATCTCTAATGGTCATCATCATCGTTCAGCGTTAAACAGCATGACAAGACCCACTGATCACTGCCTTTCTCACCATCTTGCACGCTGAATTAGAAAGTATGAATATACAAGATGGACAGGGACTGGACTTACATAGGTGGGAAAAGGGAAAGAATCCCCTAGTAACCAACACACAGAATACACAGCCTAACTGTACAAACGCACATCGATCAGTCATTCTGATTCAATAGAAAGTGACGACACGATCGCCACCGTTCACGGTTCGCTGCCATATCCTTCAGTGTTTCCAGCCAACTGGTAGACGGATCTTTTGGACCCCAACCACGAGGACGTGAAGCACCTACTTTTCCTAAGTCTGCTGTACATTTTCTCATTTCTCGTTGCCAAGTCATCTGTTGACCTCCATGTGGTTTTTCCCACTCCCTAGGAGGAACGGAGAATAGGACACGGTATGGTAGACGTGTGTTTGATATACGTAACACGTGCCCCAACCAACGAAGACTACCAAGTTGGATACGCTGTGACAGAACGTTCTCTGAATTAATACCCAATACTCGCTTTCTGACCTCATCATTACTTACTCGGCTATTCCACCCGATCTTAGCGATACTACGTAAACACACGTGGTCAAAAACCTCAAGAAGACGAATATCTTCAGCACGAAGACTCCAAATTTCGCAACCATACAACAAAACTGAACGCACAGTGGCACAGTATACACGACCTTTCAACTTCAGTGAAATATCAGGTTGGCACCATAAGTGCTTCAGTCCAGCGTACGCCGCTCGAGCTTTGGATATCCGCGTACTCACCTCTATCCTGTGCTCCCATCCGTCATTACGCTGTTGCCGAGGTAGGTGAAGTGGTCGACAACTGCCAGCACCACCCATTGAGCATCAAGCTCGGAACGGTTCACGTCCAAATTTGCAACATTATTTACACTTTGAAGGTGCAAAGCGCATGCCGAATGGAGCTACAGCTCTTGAGAGATTATCTAATGCACGCTGAACATGTTCCGTGCATTCGAACGAGCAGACAACGTCGGCCGAACGACAATAATGCTTTTCTTAGACCTGAAAGGCGCCTTCGATTCAGTTGATCGAACATCGCTTTTCAGTACTCTTCATCGAAAAGGTATGCCCCAGAAGTTCGTGAAACTACTGAGATCATTGTATTCTCATACTTCTGGCCGCGTTAGAGTCTAAGGTGAACTTTCCGGTCGGTTCGAAACGACCAGTGGTGTTCGGCAGGGATGTCCTTTGTCTCCATTCCTGTTCAACTTCGTCATGGACGAAATAATGGACAGTGCGCAGCAAAATCTTCAGCATGTAGGCGTCCAACTAGGGAACAGTGGAAAGCTGTGTGACCTAGATTACGCGGACGATGTTGTCTGCTTGTTCGAATGCACGGAACATGCTCAGCGTGCACTAGATAATCTCGCGAGAGCTGAAGCTCCGTTCGGCATGCGCTTTGCACCTTCAAAGTGCAAGGTGATGTAACAAGACTGGACGTCAACGATTCCGAGCTTGATACTCGATGGGGAGGTGCTGGTAGTTGTCGACCACTTCACCTACCTCGGCAACAGCGTAATGACGGATGGGAGCACAGGATAGAGGTGAGTACGCGGATATCCAAAGCTCGAGCGGCGTACGCTGGACTGAAGCACTTATGGTGCCAACCTGATATTTCACTGAAGTTGAAAGGTCGTGTATACTGTGCCACTGTGCGTTCAGTTTTGTTGTATGGTTGCGAAATTTGGAGTCTTCGTGCTAAAGATATTCGTCTTCTTGAGGTTTTTGACCACGTGTGTTTACGTAGTATCGCTAAGATCGGGTGGAATAGCCGAGTAAGTAATGATGAGGTCAGAAAGCGAGTATTGGGTATTAATTCAGAGAACGTTCTGTCACAGCGTATCCAACTTGGTAGTCTTCGTTGGTTGGGGCACGTGTTACGTATATCAAACACACGTCTACCATACCGTGTCCTATTCTCCGTTCCTCCTAGGGAGTGGGAAAAACCACATGGAGGTCAACAGATGACTTGGCAACGAGAAATGAGAAAATGTACAGCAGACTTAGGAAAAGTAGGTGCTTCACGTCCTCGTGGTTGGGGTCCAAAAGATCCGTCTACCAGTTGGCTGGAGACACTGAAGGATATGGCAGCGAACCGTGAACAGTGGCGATCGTGTCGTCACTTTCTATTGAATCAGAATGACTGATCGATGTGCGTTTGTACAGTTAGGCTGTGTATTCTGTGTGTTGGTTACTAGGGGATTCTTTCCCTTTTCCCACCTATGTAAGTCCAGTCCCTGTCCATCTTGTATATTCATACTTTTTAATTCAGCGTGCAAGATGGTGAGAAAGGCAGTGATCAGTGGGTCTAGTCATGCTGTTTAACGCTGTACGATGATGACGATGTTGGATTAAGCTAATCCCACAATGATTACTACAGTCATTGCGTATTACCTTCTTGAAGATGGGCATAATCGATGACTCACTCCATATTAACGGGATCTCAAGTGATACCATCCAAGAAGTCACAGTTGTTGACACGGGAGTAACTACACTAGCGTGCAGCCAGCTAAACTGTTC